ACCCGCGGCCTGAGCTCCGCCGGGCCCGCCCGGAACCACCGGGGTGGGCGGAGCCTCGCAAGGCTGCGCTCTGATTGGCTGCGGGAGGGGCCGCGCACGGGGGTGGGGTGCTGAGGCCGGAGAGGAGGGGTACTCCGAGCCCGAGCGCGGAGGCGAAGCTAGCATCCACCCGGAGAGGGGGCCGGGAAAGGAGGCGCGGAGGAGGGAGAGGGGGAGAGAGGAAGAAGAAGAAGGGAAGAGGAGAGGGCGCAGGAAAGGAGGATCAGAAGTGAGAAAGGAGAAGTGGAAAGAAGCAAAATTGAGTTTCTGGCAGCTCGGGCGTCAGTCCTTTTTCTGTAGCGGGTCAGAAGGGGTTCAGAGAAGTAGTGACGGAAGGCTCGAAGGCTGGCACGGGGCGGTTCCCAAATAACTGGCTTGGCGGGGTGGGGAGGGGGAGTGCGGTTGGGGAATGTTGAAGTCCCAACACCTTTTGGTACGTGTAGAATTAAACGGCTAACACCCGGAGATGGGCTTCCGCTTGCCTGTCTCAGCCGCTTGCCCCTTATAATCACTGTGCCCCATTATTAGACGTTGAGGCAGCCGTCGTGGTCTCAAGCTGAACTCAGATTACAGAAGCCAGGAAGCATTTATTTGTAGCCAGAGATAAAGGCTGACTTTAATTCTGGGGCGAGGGCTGCTTTCATTTTCACAGAATTCAGACACAATGCTACTTCTCTAGAGCCTCCTCCTAGGACTCCTAGACCTCCTTTAAAACAAAGTATGAATAAATAAAATACACTGCTGCTTCTGAACTAGACTTTGGTACATTGGCCGCACCCGACATACTTGGCGGTTGTTATACCAATCTAAGCCAAATTGTTAATGGTCCCTTCAGAACTGTGCTCCATGCTATGATGTGCTTGCTCCGTGCCTTAAATTTTTTTTCTCCTGCTTGGGCCTTTCTAAAAGAGCTTATTTCTGCCGAAAGAGCTGTTTTAACTCCGCTCCATTTTTATATCAGACCTTTTTTTAACATCCTGGGTCAGCTTTTACTTAGCATTAAAAACAATTTTTTAAGTGACATACCTAAGAAAAAGACTGCAGTTTGGAATTTGCATTTAAATATATTTTCATACACTGCTGGTGGGATGTAAATTGGTTCAATCTTTTTTGCAAAGCAATTTGGCACCGCCCATCTAGATCCTTTAAAGTGTTCTTAACCTTTGATTTGGGCTCATTCCACCGTGGGCATCTAGCTCAAAATAGTCAAAATCAAGACAGATTTAGGTTCCTGTGGTTGTTTGATAATTAGATAATAAACCTTATCTTAAAGCACAGTAATGTGAGAAATAGCATTCTGCTATAAAATTTATACTGGAAAATAAGTGTTGTTCTGGGCACTGGTATAAACATTCAAGAAGAGCTTATATATAATCAATGTTTTTATGAGTTTTTCAGAGGTTTTTCTGAGATTCAGGCATGGTGTCACAGAGCCTTCCATTTCATCCCTCTCAGCAGAGTATTCACTGTTGGCAGACAAATTACTTCATCGCTGTCCTGAAGGAGAGAAGCTGCATGCTGAATATCTTCAAAGGGATTGCTTTGTCCTGAATTTTGCTCTAGAAACTGCAGAAACTAAGATGTCCACCATGTCTGTTAAACAGATGGTAGGCACCCTAGTGATGAGTGCTTTCTAATGAGCACTGAAGAGTTGGCAGAGGAAGAGAGAGCAATTTCATTGACTCTCAGCTAGAATGTTCTCCACCCAGTCTTTGTCCTAGGGCAGAGATGCAAGTCTCTGGGAGACTGTATGTTGTAGTTAAAGGACCCAGCTGCACTAACAGCTTCCTGGGTTGGAATCTGGATTGTATATAAGCTTCTTTGGCCTTCCATTCTATATTAAATACATGACCTTAAGTTTCTGAACAGCTCTGTCACCTCACTTATTGATCACCTATAACAATGTTCCAATGTTATAGGGACTCTTAATTCTTCTCTTCATGCTGAACATCAACTATCTAAGCTTACTGCACTATTCCAGACCACTTAAGACCTTTGGTAGAAACAGTGCCTTCCTTATCTTGTGTCTGTGCATTGTGCTTTTATAATTTTTACAAATAAATTCTTAAATAAGTTTTATGAATATTGAGATAGAATCCATATATCATACATTTCACCAATTAAAATGTACAATTTCATTATTTTTAAGTATATTTTACAATCAATTTTAAAATATCTCATCACCCCAGAGAGAAAACCCATTCCTCTTAGCAGTCACTCCTCATTTCTTCCTAACCCTCTGACCTCAGGCCTAGGCAACCACTAAGTATTTTTTGTCTCAGATTTGAGTATTCTGGACATTTTTTAAAAAAGATTTATTTATTTATTCATATAGAACTGTAGTAAAGGCCAGAGATGCAGAGGGTGAGAGGATTCACCAGGGACAGAGTGGGGTGCAGAACAGGCAGATGGACGAAGTACACTGCTGAGGGGACAGTGGGCGGGCCAGAAGAGGTCTGCCTCACCATGTGGATCTCCTCCAGGTAAGACGGGGATCGAACTCATGTGGAAGTGGCTTAAGCTTCTTAATGCAGTGCTTTAACCCACTGTGCCACCAGGGAGGGCCGTTCTGGACATTTTTTATAAATGGAATGATATATGGTCTTTTAAGGCTAACTTCATTCATATAGCATAAAGTTTTCAAAGTTCATCCATGTTGGCAAGTATCAGCACTTCATAGTTTTATGGCTGAATAATATTCCATTGTGTCAATATAGCACATTTAATTTACCCATTTATCAACATGGTGAACATGGGTTACTTCCATCTTTTGGAGGAAATGTATGAAGCTGTTAATGAACATTCATGTACATATTTGTATGGGGCATTATTTTTCAATTCTTTTAGCTATGTACAAAAGAGCACACTTGCTTGGTCATATGGTAACTCTCTGGTTAACTTTCTGAGGAACTGACAGACTGTTAACCCAAAATAACTGCATCACTTTACATACCCATCACCAATTTCACTGCATCTTCACCAACACCGATGATTTTTTTCTTTTTATTATAGACATCACTGTAGGTAGATATATAGGATATCTCACTGGCATTTTGACTTGCATTTCCCTAGTGACAAATAATGTTGAATGTCATTTTCTATACAGATTATTTGTATTAGTTTTTAGAAAAATGTCTACTCAGAACCTTTGCCCATTTTAAAAAGATTGTAAAGTTTTTCAGACAAATTCCCTAGTAAATACACAATTTGTATATATTTTCTCTTATTATAGGTTACCTTTTGAAACATGAAAGTTTTTTATCTTTGTGAAGTCCTTTTAACCTTTTCATGGTTGCTTGTGCTTTGGGGCTCATATCTAAGAAAGCATCATTTAATTCAAGATCAACAAGCTATATATGTTTTCCCCCAAGAGCTTTATATTTATAGCTCTGATTAAATTAACTTTTGTATATGGTGTGAGATAAGGTTCATCTTCATTCTTTTACATGGAAATTTCTAGTATCTTAGCATCATCATTTGACATAACTATTCCATTTAATTGACTTGAGACATTTACTGAAAATCAACTGTTGGTCTAATATGTCTAGACCAGTACCACAGTATCTTGATTACTGTTGTATAAGTTTTTTGCTTTATAAGTTTCGAAGTTGGGAAGCATAAGTCCCCCAACTTTATTTTCCTTTTTGAGATTATTTTATTTGGATCATTCACATTTCCATATCAATTGTATCTCCTATTCATTTCTGGGAAGAAGAAAAAAGCAGGTGGAATTTTGATGAGAAATGTGTTGACTCTATAGATTAATTTTACATAGAAAATCTTAACAATATTAAGCCTTCTTAACAATATTAAGCCTTCTAATTCAAGAACTTGGATGTCTTTCCACTTATTTATATCTTAAGTTACTTTCAATGATGTCTTAAAGTTTTCATTGTACAAACCTCTCACACCTTTTGTTAAATGTATTTCTAACTATTTTATGTTTCATGCTGTTGTAAATAGCAAGTTATGCTATTTACATGTAGATTTGTTGTTTTGATTTCCTTTTCAGATTGTTCATTATAAGTGTATAGAAATCCAAATGATTTTTGGATATTGATCAAATATCTTGCAACCTTGCTAATAAACTCATTTATTGTTTCTTCTAGTTTTTGCTTCATGTGTTTTAGGACTTTGTTGTTAGATGGTATATGTTTATAATTGTTATATCTTCAGTCCTTTTTTTCCAGGGAGATTTGGTCAGGGAGACTAAGAAGGAGAAATGGGAAGGAAGGACAAAGGGAAGTGAGAATGAATTCCAGTAACTCTGAAGTGTCTGGATTCCAGACACTTGTTAAAAATCACAGTTCCCGGCCCTCCCTGTTGGCACAGTGGGTTAAAGCACCACACTGAGAAGCTAAAAGCCACTTCTGCATGAGTTCGATTCCCGCCTGCCACGGAGGTGACCACATGGTGTGGCAGACCTCTCCTGACCCGCCCGCTTCTCCCCTCATCAGTGTACTTCGTCGATCTGCCTGTTCTGCTCCCCACTCTGTCTCTGGTAAAGCCTCTCGCCACCCCTGAGCCTCTGGACTGTACCCCAGTTCTGTATGCACAAATAAGT